CTTGGGTTCGGGTTGCGACTCTTTTCTCACCTCTGGATGACTCGGGCGTCTCGATTTGTCCAACTGAACTCTCTCACAGCCACCTCCGAGCCTTGTCTCCCCCTTTTGTCACGTCTCCCGTCCTTCCTATTCCCTTTCCTCTGCCATCCTTGTTGACCGCATAAGTAGCCTTGCTTGCTAGCTCAACACCTTCGTCGACAGCCAATCGGCGTTGCTTATTGGTCCGCTGTCATTCCCATCGCGAGAAACGTCAAAACTGTACATAATACGCTGCGTTGACTCTCGGCTCGTTGGAAAATCTCCACCGCTTCGCAATCCGGTTGATCCCATTTTCCCCGTGTTTCCAACTCCTTCTTTTCTCCCCTATTATTTCTAGTTATCGATTCCCAAACCCCGGACCCCTTTCTAGTTCTGTCGATCATTAAGGGTTTACCGACTGGACCGAGTTTATGGAGCAGCTTCGTTTGAGGAAACAAACACAATGACGGCCACGAAAGCGACTCTGGGGCAGCCGTCCGACCTCGGCCGCCGGGATTCCATGACGGACGGCGGCGAGGAAGGCAATTTGTCGGACGACCAGATGATTCCGGACCAGGACGATGCCCAGGCCGTGTTGCAGCCGGCCATGAGCGCCGCGGCGAGCCATCTGACATCCTTGTGGACGCCGGCCGTCGAGAAGGAGGCTGCTATGCAGCGCCGGGGGGCCAATGGCTTCTTTGAGGAGCCGGAGCTTATTGTATCTGGTGACGACGACGGAGACGGAGACGGAGACGGAGATGGAGATGGAGACGGAGATGGAGGAGATACGACGCCCAGGGCGGCAACCTCGCCCAAGTCGACCTCGCCTCCACGCATCCCGATACGGAAGCCCACCATCCAGCTGGACTCTGTGCCTTCACCCAAGAGCGAAGCAAGACGATATGCTCCCCCGTCTCCGTGGAAGTCGCAGCAGCCGAGCAAGGACACAAGGCCCCTGAGCGACGCTCGCGGGATCCTGCACGCTGCCTTTGAACCCACACGCCAGCGGTCTAGGTCAGCCGGCCAGGAAGCCTTGAAGAAGCTCCAGCAGGCATTTCCATCGCTCAGCACGCCGTCCAACTTTCTCCCGTCGCTATCCAGGCCAAGGTCCTTCCTGTCGAGCTTCACCGACGGCAAGCATCAGCGCAGTCGCTCAGTCGCCTCTCGGCGCCGGGGCCACGCCTCCTCTGCATCTCATTCACCATCCGACTCTCCTCCTCCGCCTCACAGCTCGGCAGGTGCCGGCGCCGGTTCTT